TGTGCGTTGTTCTTGAGTCAAGCTAACGTGCCCAGAGGCTGACATTAAACCTATCCTGATGTGGGGATATCTCCGCCAGGGTGGATCACTGGGGGAAAGGAAGCCCGGTCTCACTCCAAACCCTACATGGCTTTCCTCAACATCAGCATGAAGCATGGGCACAAAAGGTGTGGAGGATTCCTGATCCAAAAGGACTTTGTGCTGACAGCTGCACACTGTGACCTAGGGTAAGTGCCTGCTTCTTGACCCTCAATTTCAAAGTTGTTGCCTCCTGGGGAATTCCCAAAGAGGGGTCAGCTGTGGCTTACTGCTTGTGGGGGTAGGTGGGAATGTTTACACTGCCTTGGTGGCCACTAAAGTGAAATTAAGTGCTGATATTTAATTTGTCACCAGTAGGGTTCAGAGTTAACGGCCTGGCTGAGATGAACGGAGGCAAGGCTATCGTTCCAGGCTGTCTCTGTGGGCGTAAGTCAAGCTCATGGGCAGGCGTTTTTAAGCCACCTAGGGGAGCTAGACAACTCATTCCCATTACACCAAACCAGAAGGGTCCAAATCTCAGCCACAGAGTTCTTTGTTCTCCCAGTCCTAGGGAGGACCAGGAAGTGTTAATAAAGTGGGGGACTTAAGGATATCTTTGCAGCTGCTGGGGCTAGATGGTTAAGTTTTTTTTATAAATGGCACAGTTTGCTTGATCCTGCTGTTTCCTGATTTGCAGGAATTGCATGAATTTTGCTTTTCGAAGAGATGAGATGAGATTTTCAAAGGTGCCTAAGGGATGTGCACAGCCAATCCCCATTAAAATTAAATGGGGGGCCTAAAATCCCTTGACAGCTTTGCAAATCTCAGCCCATGTGAAGTTAATTATAATATCTAGCTCTTCTCATCTGGAGATCTCAAAACACTTGACAAAAGGGGTTGGGATCATTATCCTGGGGATGTATAAAAAGGGGAATTTCGAGTAGGAGTAGAGGGGTTATTTTACCCCTGGATTTGGCCCTGGTGCAACCACTGCTGGGATCTTGTGTCCAGTTCTGGCACCCCACAATTCAGGAAAGATGTTGACACATGGGAAAAGGGTCAGAGAAGAGCCACAAGAATGATTAAAGGATTGGAAAATCTGCCTTAGAGTGAGTGACTCAAGGAGCTCAATCTGTTTAGCTTAACCAAGAGAAGGAGGTTGGACTAGATGACCGCAGTGGTGCCTTGTGGCCTTGGAATGTATAAATCTCCATTCTACAGATGGGGAAACTGAGGCACAAAGTGGGGCAGTGACTTGTCCAAGGTCATCCAGCAGGCCTGTGAATAGAACCCAGGTCTCCTGAGTCCCCCTCCAGCACTCTACCCACTAGACCACACTGCCATAGGGTAACTCCTCATGCATGACTTGACAATAATAGCTCCACCCTCATTCAGCTCCATGGAGATGTTAATTCTGAGCCCTACTGACACCAATTCCTCTCTCTGTACGTAACTGTTTCACTGCAGCTGCTTTTAGTGGCTTTGAAAATCTCAGGCTCTGGTTCCTATTTTAACACCCCAGAAGGTTGGGGCAGCATGGATGGGTTTTGGGTAGGGGAGGCCAGTGGGATCTAGGAGCGCCCAACCCTAGCCCATTCCCAGCCACGACTCTCTGCCTTCCCAGAAAAATCGTGGTGTATCTGGGAGCTCACAATGTGACCAAGCGGGAGCGGAGCCAGCAACGCCTGGCCGTCAGACGGAAAATCCCCCACCCGAAATACAACAACAAGACATGGGAGAATGACCTCATGTTACTCAAGGTACCAATGACTGATTTTCTCCTATTACGTCCCTGTTTGTCTGTCTGTCTCTCCTTCTGGTGGCTCTTGTCTTAGAGCGTCAGCTCTTTGAGGCATGGACTGTCGCTTTGATCTGTGTTTGTGCAGTGCTTGGCACAATGTGCTCATGGGTCGTGACTGGGGCCCCAGGCGCTACCGTAATACATCTAATAAATAATGTACAGCACTGGCACAATGGGGTCGTGGGTCATAACTGGGGCTCTAGGTGCTACCGTAATACACCCAATAAAGCATAATAATAATGACCCCACATTCAGGGTATTCACATTTTTACTCAAGATCTTTTTTGTTTGTTTGTTTTTTAGTCAAAAATGGGGGCTTTGCCTAACTGCTCCTGTAAAAAAATAAATAAATAAATAAAAATGATAATATTACGAAAGAAATTTGTTTTCTGTTTTTTTTTAATTATTATGTTTTGAAACACTGGAGAAATTTTCCACTTTTCACCAGTTTTTACTCCCCTGCCTCCAACACTCAGTTAGAGATAAAAGATAAAAAAGTGAGAGGGAGTGACAGAGAAAAAAAAATTCTCTACCTTATTTATTTTTCCCCACTGGCAAAAAATTGGGACGAAGTAAAAAACAATAAGCATGTTTTCTTTTCCCTCTATACTATAAAAATGTGGGGAAAGTGGGGGTTCCTCCCCCCCCCATTCCCACACTCGAGTCCTTTTTTGTTTCTTGGTTTGCTTTTCACTGCAAGAAAAAAGTTCAAAGCGACAGAAAGAATCTCTGAAATTTCAAAATAGATTTTTTTAAATGAAATTTTTCATTTTGCATCTGATTTTTTTAAAAACATGAAAAATTCTGAATGGGATGAAATATTGTTTTTCCCCCTGTAAATTGATCAGTTATTCCCCTCTCCAGACATATACCGGGCAGGATCTCATCCCCTTCTGCAGAAGGGAGCGGTGTCTTTCTCACATACACACAGTCTTGACCCCCCCCAAAATAATATCCTTCAAAAAATGTGGTTTCAGAAGTTATTTGTATTATGGTGGCACTTAGATCAAAATCAGGGCCCCATTGTGCTGGGTGCTGCCCAGACCCCAAACGAGATCAGAACCCCACTGTGCCAGGCGCTGCACAGACCCTGACCAAGATCAGGGCCCCATTGTGCCAGACACTGCACAGACCCCGACTGAGATTAGGGCCCCATTGTGCCTGACACTCCACTGACACAGTGAGGCACAGCTCTGCCCCAAAGAGCTCACACTATAAATAGAGAAACAGTTGGCGGGGAAACTGAGGCACGGAGCGGGGCCGTGATTCACCCAGGAGCAGACCCCAGGTCTCCTGACTCCCATCCCAGTGCTTTATCCACTAGACCTTGCTGCCACCCTTTCCCTTGCCCTCTCTCCTTGCAGCTGAAGTGCAAAGCGAAGCTGACAAAGGCTGTGCAGCTCGTCCCCCTGCCCGAGGACGGTGAAGAGGTGATGCCAAGAGACATCTGCAACATAGCGGGCTGGGGGAATACCCGGGCCAGGGGTTTTTCCCTGCCAAGCACGCTGCAGGAGGTCAACTTGAAAGTGCTGGAGGCGGACAGGTGCACGCGCTACCCCCATTTCGTCCCCAACTCCATGCTCTGCGTGGGCGACCCCAGGGAAGTCGAGAAATCATCCTTTCAGGTAAATATCCCTCTTGCCCTGCACACGTCCTCCCAGCTCGGCCGAGCAGGGGGCGATGCTGAGACTCTGAGCTGTACCAAGGGACACGCACCCATGGGAAGGACAACTGAAACCAGCTTCAACACCTGGCGTTTATTTCGCAGGGCGATTCCGGGGGCCCTCTGGTCTGTGACGGGACAGCCCAGGGCATCGTCTCTTTTGGCAAAGATGACGGGTCCCCCCCCAGGGTGTTCACCAGGGTCTCGGCGTACGTCCCCTGGATCAAGAAAACAATGAGAAAGCTGTAGGATTAACCTTAGACAAGCACTTTCTTTGCTCTCTGCCTCAGTTTCCCAGCTGTAAAAGGAGTGTTACAATCCTCACTTAGCTCCCAAGTGATAAATCCGTACAGCTATGTATGGAGCCCAGTTATGGTGATGGGCTCATGGTAAAGCCAATCAATAAATAGTGTCTTCTTGGTGTTTCCTGTTGCACATTATTTTAAAACTTTAAACAGGCTCCATCAGACATTGGAGGTTTTAGCTTTAGAGACAAATCGCCGGGTCCCAGGATATTAGAAAGACAAGGTGGATAAGACAGGCTGATCCAATTAAAGATACCACCTCACCCGTCTTGTCTCTCTGTGATTCTGTAAAGCATCTTCTAGAAAGTCTGACAGTCTGAGTTTGAAGGTATCAAGACCTGGAGGTTTGTTCTGGTGGTTAAAGATTTTTTCGTTTCATTTTTTTTGGTGATTGCCTCAAACGTTTTCAAAACCCTTTCCCCCCCCCTTGAAAATGTATGTTTTGGTCAAAAAGGTGGATGGGAAATTTCTGATCCGTTCTACAAACTGCTCGACTTGACCAAAAATTAAGGGGGAAAATGTCATGGAAGTTTTGTTCCTTTTTTGGCACATGGGGGGAGTAAAATTTAAACTCCAACAAATAATTTCATCCAGATCTGAAAAACTCCCACTGAATCTTCTTCGATGACATTTCCCCAATACTCCCCCCTACACACTGCCAATTTTCAACCAATTTAGAGCTGGTTGAAAGATGGGGTGACAATATCATGAAAGCGTTATCCCCAAACCCCTCCTCTTTGTGTTTTTAAAGCAACATATGTCTAAATATTTGCATCAGAATTCCGAAATTTGAAAAAAAAATCATCCAGTTTTGTAGTTGGTCACAACATGTATGACATTGAATTTTCCAGAGAACAATCCCAACTCTTGTCAAAATAACAAGAAAATTGAAAAACCTGGACATTTTCTAAAGCTCGTAGCATGTTTTGCTGGAAAAATTACTCAAAATATTTGTGTGTGTGTGTGTGTGTGTGTGTGTGTGTGAATGGGTTGGCTCACACACGCACCGGGTGGGGAGAATCAGGCTGGATTTTTGAAACAGTCCGATCGGCTTCAGGGCTGGTAGGAAAGCAAGGAGGAAATGTGGTTGCAATTTTGTTCCCATGTGGTCAATGAAATTCCTGCCAAAAACAGTTGTGAGATGAATAAAAAAAATAAGGAAAAATATTAAAATTTAATCAAAGATTTGTCCAAAAATAATTAGAGACAAGGTGGGTGAGGGAATAGCTTTTATTGGACCAACTTCTGCTGTTGAGAGAGTCAAGCTTTCAACATAGATCTCTTCTTCCGGTCTGGGAAAAGTTCTCCAGCATGTCCAAGCTAAACGCAAGTCAAAGCCGGTCCCTTTCCCGAACAGACGTGAATAAAAGCTATCCCCTCTCCCACCTCATCTCTAATATCCTGGGACCGACACGGCTACAACAACATGGCAAACTACCAAACAATTGTCCGGTTCCTAATGACGCCTTCCGCCTCTTGGTTTGGGGGAGTTTGAACCTGGTGTTAAAGCGATGAGTCTGGAAAAGGTTTTGAAAACCTGCCCTAGGAGGAGAGGTGAAAAAAACTGAGCATGTTGGGTCTTGAGAAAAGAAGACTGACGGGGGGACCTGAGAACAGTCGTCCAGTATGTGAAGGGCTGTTCTCAAGGGGATGCGGATCAATGGTTCTCCATGTCCAGTGAAGGCAGAACAAGAAGTGATGGGTTAATCGGCAGCAAGGGAGATTGAGGTTAGACATTAGGACAATCTTCCTAGCTCGAAGGGGAGTCTAAAGGAAGAGCTCCACTAGCTATAGTAGACTCTTATCCTGTTACATGGACTGGCCAGTAGAGGGAGACAAACCCCGCATGTTCTGCTAGTGGCCTGCAGCTCAGGAAAGGCTTTCTCATCCCGCCTGCTCCTCTAGGGTTAGTTTCTCTCTTTCTTTGGGGGAGTGGGGAGGGGGTCCATTGGCCCCAGGAGAGGGGAGTCCATTAATTTCAGTAGACGTTGGATGAGGCGCTGGTGTGGGATTTCCTCATGGGTCTGCTATGGAAACTCTTCTCCTCTCTTCCCACCGAACCGCCCTGTCCAGCCCTGGCAGAGCAGACGACAATTCCACGGACCCTGATTGTAGTGCAGAAAGGCCCTAGGGAGGGGGACTGGCTGGATCACGGGATGGGAAATTGGATGTGGGGCCTTTCCCCTTTTGGGGGTGCTGGCTCTGATCTAGCCCCACAGCGGGGGACTGGCTGGTTCAGTGGGGGGTGGGGAATTGGACATGGGGCCTTTTAAACCCTGTGACATGGTTTCTAATCTGCAGTGATTACTGCCTCTGTCTTAGGGCTCTGGGAGGTGAGTGGTGTCTTCCGTGTCTAGTGGTTTAGAGCAAGGAGAGCTGGGAGCCAGGACTCCTGGGTTCTATCCCTGGCTCTGGGAGGGGAGTTGTGTGGGATGGTTCTTGGGGTAACCAGGACTGTGAGTGACCTTGTTACCCCTGGCCTCCAGGTTAACAGCAGCTGCCCCCGAGTCCCCTGGAACCGCTCCCCTGTGACACCCAACCCCTGACGCTGGCTACTCACAGAAATCCCAGCTCCTCAGCCCTCAAGGGAGCAGCGTATCCCTGTTTTCCCTTTACCCACTGTGACGGTGTCACACCCAGCCCTCGTGCTCACGGTGAACAAAACCAAGAGAGGGTTTATTGCGCTTCCTGTGGAAACAAGAGAGAGCGCCAGATACTGATGGGTACAGGAGCAACCATACTCAGACGCTGCCAGCTAGGGCCAACGCTCGCTAATAGTTCCAGTGTCTGGCTAACCAACAGGTTTCCCCTCCCAGAATTCAGCCCCTTTGCAGAGCTGGCTGACACCCCAGGATCCGGGTCTTCCTGAAATTCCTCCGCGCCCCAAGACGTCTCCTCTGGGAAAGACTGCAGAGGGTCGTCTTCTGCCCTGCATTATGCTGATTTTGCCGGCTGTCTCTCATGGCAGTCGGGGTGAGCATTGGCCGGTTACTATGGCCATCTCTGCCTCCATGTGGGTTCGGTTGTTTGTGTCTGGCTTTGACGGGTTCTCGTGGACTGTTCTGGGATGAGGTGAGGGAACACAAGGGGGCCTTGAGGCTCTCTGCCAGGAGTGGCACATGACCAGGGTTGCCAACCTCAGGGCAGACTGGCTGAAAGAGGCACACGCCCAGACTGGTGATGTGTTCAGTGATTAGATTTCACCACGCCCATACCACGGAGCCACGGACAGTCCCCTACACTCTGGTCTATCCACCCAGACAAACCGGACTTAGTGATAAGTGGTCATGGCACCAAAACTCACCCCACATTCAGGATGCTCCCTGTCCCTAGAGACCAATCACTTAGGCCGTGTCTACACTAACGAGCTTATAGCGACGCAGCTGTACCGATGCAGCTGCACCTCTGTAAGATCGCTCGTGTAGCCGCTCTATGCTGACGGGAGACAGCTCTCCCATTGACATAATTAAACCACCCCTGACGAGCAGTGGTATCTATGTTGGCAGAAGAAGCTCTCCTGTCAACATAGCGCTGTGCACACCAGCGCTTCTGTTGCTGTAACTTGTGTCACGTCGTGATGTGTTTTTTTCACACCCCTGAGCGACATAAGTTATATTGACAAAAGTGGTAGTGGAGACATAGCCTTAATCCGGATCAGTTTGTACCTAGATCTTACACCAAAGACAACGCCTGTAGCCAATCCTGTAATCCATGCTACGCCCACATCTTGAATACTGTGTGCAGATGTGGTTGCCCCACCTCAAAAAAGATATATTGGAATTGGAACAGGTTTAGAAAAGGGCAACAAAAGTGATGAGGGGTATGGAACAGCTTCCATATAAGGAGAGATTAATAAGACTGGGACTTTTCAGCTTGGAAAAGAGACGATTAAGGGGGATAGGACAGAGGTCTATAAAATCATGACTGGTGTGGAGAAAATAAATAAGGAAATGTTATTTACTCCTTCTCATAACACAAGAACTAGGAGTCACCAAATGAAATTAGTAGGCAGCAGGTTTAAAACAAGCAAAAGGAAGTATCTCTTCACACAATGTACAGTCAACCTGTGGAACTCTTTGCCAGAGGACGTTGTGAAGGCCAAGAGTATAACAGGGTTCAAAAAAGAACTAGATAAATTCATGGAGGATAGGTCCATCAATGGCTATTAGCTAGGATGGGCAGGGATGGTGTCCCTAGCCTCTGTTTGCCAGAAGCTGGGAATGGGTCACTTGATGATTACCTGTTCTGTTCATTCCCTCTGGGGCGCCTGGCATTGGCCACTGTCGGAAGACAGGATACTGGGCTAGATGGACCTTTGGTCTGACCCAGTCTGGCCATTCTTATGTTCTTAATGAATTATCTAAAGATTTATGACCTAGGAAAAAGGAATAACAGTTATTTCCAGATTAAAGCAGGCAAACATATACACCCCGATGAGTTACCATCTAAATCCGAAGAGTGCCAGAGCTGTAGTGGTTTGTCAGTTCAAAGTGTCTCTCAGGGCAGCCCCTGGGGAGCTCTGGTGCCAGTTTGGAGGCTCTTGCCCACTCAGATGTCAAACAGCCCAAAAGACAGAAAATCGTCTTGTGGCTTCCTTTTATTTACGTCATTCAGGGTCCAAGCCCACGGCACTTCCTTGCACATCACATTTCCCAGCAGCCGGAGGGCTATTAACCATTTTTTGTATTGGAATGGTCTGGGATGGCCCATCTGATTTTGATAGTCCATCTGGATGGATGCCGGAAGTGGGGGGCGGACGATTCCCATGCCTGGGTTCCCAAGTTCAGAGCAAACACTTTCAATGTTATAAAGCAAAACGTTCCTGTTTCCCTATAGCCTGGAACACAGACATTGCACGTGAGATTGATGCAGGCAGCAACGTGGAAGCATTTCATAGACTGTAAACTCTAAATATGTTCTTGTAAGACTCATCCCTCTTTTGAGCGAAACTAACACACAGGTGAACAGTCTGTTCTCCAGCAACGAGTTTGTTAATTCTTAGCTAATGCCAGCTGCCTGGGCCTGCCAGCATCACACCGTGTAGTCCATCACCAGCTAGCCAGGGAGGGCTGACAGCTCCCTCC